AATGGCACAATCAAATTCAATAATAGCCAATGAGTATTATTGAGAAATCGAATTACCATGATTTTGCTCAAGCCATCCACTTATTATTCTCATCCACATATACGTACCTTCTAAAACTCCCACTTTCCCAATGATCCTCTGATGGAGTAAAGAGACATACACAGAATTACAAACTTGAATCATCTACCTTAGTTTGAATCTTTATTGGAAGAGATGATGAACAGTTATTATACACAAAGAGTTTCTCTGCCTACATGAATAAAAAACATACAACATGCAATCAATAGATAGACCCATAGATCTTTGCGAGTTTCAGGCAACTTCCGCTAATCTTTCAGCCCCCATGCCGTCACAAAGTGCCACTGAGCACACACTTTACAGAAGAAGATATTCTTGTATATAAAAGTAATGTTACTAAAGACTATGTGACAATTGTTAATATTGTCTTAATAAGTGGTAAATATCATATCCATAAAAGCAAATGGAAAAAGAACCTGCCAAACATAACATGTTTTAAAAACGAATTTAAAATGTATTTGTCCTTCCTGAAAATATGTATAGAAACCAATCTGAAAGCTAATCAAATTTACCAGTCTGCTGAAAATCTACTTCTGTGTTAAGACATTGAACAGTGTGTCATATGTTTTTTGTGTCTATTTTGTGACTTTGTATTTTCATTTAAATTTTGTTTTTTTATTATTTCTTTAAGCCTTGCCTTGAAATTGGTTGTCTCTACGAGAGTTTGTAATGTTTTACATTTTGAATAATAAAAAAAAAAAAACATAAAAAAAAAGCGCCACTGAGCACAACCATTCATTTGAATAGGGCGCCATCTTGGATCGCCGGGGCTTGCGGCATGGGGGCTGTCACTCCCGTATTCGTCCCGGAAACCGGATTCGTCCGGAAGTTAAGTTTGATCCAATGACCAAACGCAGCAGTAGATTACGTCACGGAATCTGGACGGAAGCGGCAGTAAATATAAAAAACTACCTATTCATGCCTAAACTTAACCAGCCATTCCCATAAAATAACCCAAACCCAGCCTTAACCCTAAACTTAACCATCTTAATCAGACGCCTAAACTTAACCAGTCTCCACTTATTATACAATATTAGACATATTAAACTTTTTGACATGCGCAAACTGAACTTCCGGACGAATCCGGTTTCCGGGACGAATACGGGAGTGACAGGGCTGAAAGATTAGCGGAAGTTGCCTGAAACTCGCAAAGATCTATGGGAAACTCGCAAAGATCTATGGGAAACTCGCCTGTATTTGGGCATGGTCTGGTCCTCCCGGTTCTGCGCAGTGGATGATCTCCCATAATGCGTTGCGCCAAACACGAGTGTGTGGGTCTCACACCGGGTCTCACGCACGTGCACAGAGGGGCTCGGCTGCGCTCTGACCAATCAGAGCAGTTCATCAGAGCGGGAGTTAGAGCGAGAGCCAGACAAGCAGAGTTTGTGCCACTAAAGTGTGGATTTAAACAAAACCGAAGGATTTAAGAAGAAAAAAAATTCAGTATGACAAGGGACACTAAAATCCCCACAAAATCCGATCTTTATGATAGCTGTAGGTTCTCTGTCAGCTGAGGTCGAGCTGTTTTAATATGCATTGAGTTCTATGGGGAAAATTTCTGGGTAGCCCACGTGAATTTAGTCTGGTTCAGTCTGCAGTACCGCGAGAATCCCCTGAGCACATGGGTTATTCAGCTACAAGCTAGTAATACCCATGGATGTATTATATTAACTGGATAGGGTATTACTAGCTTGTAGCTGAATAACCCACGTGCTCAGGGGATTCTCGCGGTACTGCAGACTGAACCAGACTAAATTCACGTGGGCTACCCAGAAATTTTCCCCATAGAACTCAATGCATATTAAAACAGCTCGACCTCAGCTGACAGAGAACCTACGGCTTTAATAAAGATCGGATTTTGTGGGGATTTTAGTGTCCCTTGTCATCCTGAACTTTTTTTCTTCTTAAATCCTTCGGTTTTGTTTAAATCCACACTTTAGTGGCACAAACTCTGCTTGTCTGGCTCTCGCTCTAACTCCCGCTCTGATGAACTGCTCTGATTGGTCAGAGCGCGGCCGAGCCCCTCTGTGCACGTGCGTGAGACCCGGTGTGAGACCCACACACGCGTGTTTGGCGCAACGCATTATGGGAGATCATCCACTGCGCAGAACCGGGAGGACCAGACGATGCCCAAATACAGGCGAGTTTCCCATAGATCTTTGCGAGTTTCAGGCAACTTCCGCTAATCTTTCAGTCCCCATGCTGTCACAAAGCGCCACTGAGCACAACCATTCATTTGAATAGGGCGCCATCTTGGATCGCCGGGGCTTGGTAATACCCTATCCAGTTAATATAATAGATCCATGGGTGAGCCTCACTCGGGAGGCGTAAAAGCCACAGCTCACTGTGGAAGGAGCCAGTGCGCTGCTATCGCGGTTTACAAAGTTCAAACATACTTCCTTTACAATCTACATGTCTGCTGTAGTCATAAATTATGTTTTTGACAACAAACATAGGTCATAATCGCGCTCAAACCACGGCTTGTAATGTCACCAACTGAGGCCAGCCTCAGAGTAGGGGGCGCATGTGAGCCCAGAATTCGGCTGCATCCAATTTCATCTGAAAGCTCCTTTCTTGTTCTTCCTCTGATAAGAGCAGCTGCAGGTTTGGCTAACATACATATAACACATTTTAAAATGATTTAAAATCCACTTGGGGTATGTTTATGCTTCCAATGACTATAGGAATGATAAGAAAGGGAGGCGAAGGGTAAGAAAGAAATTGTATGCACCCGAGAGTCTGCTACCGGCAGCTAGCGAAAACACAAGAGGAGTTTATGGAGGAGACACTCGTTTTGTTTTACTTTTTAAAACTCAATGGACTTAGTTCCAAATGGAGAATTACATATTACACTCACACTAATATCTGGGCTTAAACATGAAACTGGTCTGAACTGAACTGGTCTGTGCAGGTCATTTATAAGGTAAGACCATAACACACTTTTAAATGTGCTTTTTACCAACTGCATGTTCACAGAGGGGCTCTGACCAATCAGAGCTGCTGATCAGAGCAGCGGTAGATCGGAGCCAGCGAGGGGAAGAAACGAGCAGAGTTTGTGGCAGTAAAGTAGGCAGATGCGAGCGGGCATGTAAAGGAGACTCAATGTGCCTCTGGTCAACTATTGCATTTAGACAACATGAATTTTGGAATGATGGTGTTTAAAAAAAAAAGACCAGATAAGGCTCGCATCTCAAGACTATGAAGTAAGAACAGTGTGGTGATGAAAGTGAACAAATACCACTGATGGACAAGATTACTGAATCATCCAGATACTGAAACAACCAGCTTCAAATGTGATGAACATCTACATTGTAAGCCATGGAGGTGTTTTCTTCGTCTAGAAGTTTCCTCAGTTATGTAGTCACCTGTAATGTTCTTTTGTGTTCTTCAACATAGACAGAAGTATGAATGATAAGATAAGATAATAAATATGAAAATAAATAATCAAATATGTTCACAATTTTTATATATATGAGGGTCCAAAAACAATCATATTCAACATGGATCACCAGAAGTTAAATTAAAGATTATAACCTTTGGCCTTTCGGAAGCCAAATCCAAAAGCTTGGGTCTCTCTGACAACAGCCGTAGAGTTCGGCGCGAGACACACATACAAACCTTAATTTCTTTATAGATAGATAAACCGACTGCAATGACCTATTGGTTTGTAACTCTACAATGGTCCTCTGAAGCTGTCGTCGTAAGGACATCGTTTGTAATTAATTCCAACTGAATAATTACTCCCACTTCCACATTCATTTGTGCATTTATTATGTCAAGGACTATGAGAAATCAAACTGCTATCTTTCTTTTGTGGAAGGAAAGATTGCATCTAATAACTGTTCAATTTAATTTCCTTTTTAAGGAATAATGCAATTATTGATGGACAATTAGTGCCTGACAATAGCTCTTCAAATTAAAGATGTAATTATCATTATGAAAATAAAAACTTATCGTCTGTTGTGCAAACCAAACGGACGGTGAGGAACAAACTGATGAGAAGAGTTGGCGATTCAATCTGTACCTCGCAATTACCTGCAATGTTTTAGCCTCAACAACAACTGTACAACTATAATCTTCTTGGATGACAAAAACAACAGTAAACATTGCGGCGCTCAGTCGTCCTCAGCAGTGAATCGATACATTCCATAGAGACGGAGCCGAGTGATGGTTTTTCACTTGAAAGGATTTTATAACCCTGTTGTGATGCATACACTTGTGCATATTACCATGTGAATTATTATCATATAAATTACTCTCATATCTGTATTCTAGAGAATTAAGGCAGCTTTAAACTCTACCCAAAGCTTAACAATTTGTTGCTATGGTAACCAGCACTTGCTCTTGTCTGGTGGAAAACCAAGCTGCCCCCGGCTCAGAACCCAAATCAGACCAGTTCTGGACCAGTCCAGGACCAGTCCAGAGCGAGTCCTGAGCGAGTCCTGATCCTTGAAAAAGGGCTTGGTTACCAACCAATTCTAATGCTACATATCTTAGAATCAATGGAGCTGTCAAAATGACTGATCATTGAGTTAAAAGTAGAGCTACTCACATTTCAAAAATAAAAGATAATTCCATATATATTGACAGAGACAAATGACAAAATATAAGAAAGTCTAATGAAAGAGATTCTGTAGTTTGCTCTTAAATGAGCTCCAAGGTGGAGAGTTTAGTTACAGCGGCGTAACAGCGAGGCGTTGAGGATCTGAGACCGCTCACAGGGTCATATAGGGCACAAGTGGATCATAAATATATGACAGCGACAAACTCTGGAGGGCTTTATAAACAAGCTTAAAGATTTCAAAGTGTCACGACCCCTTCCTCCTCTCTGTGGTCGTGCTCTGTACTGCTGTCTACCTCTGTACAGGTGGAGCTGTGGGCGGACCTTGGAGCGTGGTGCGTCAGGGCCCGACGCGCCACGCCTATTTATGGACCGGCCTGCTGACAGCCTCACTCTCTCTCAGCCTGCGATCACTCGCCTCCCGCAGAGAGCTGATAATTTTCTGAAGCTCCATGAGTTTGGAGGAATCTGTGGTGGGACTTGACGGACCACCAGCGTTGTGAATCTGCTCCTCCAGCTCCTCGATCCGCTCCTCATACTCGCCGAGCTCTTCTCTGTGGCGCCGCGTGACGTCAGACAGTTTCTGCCTTTGAGCGTCCTGCAGTGCGGCCAGCTCATGCTGATGCTCGTCCACTTCTCGGCTCATCTCCTCTCGCAGCTCGTTTATGGTTCTTTGAAGCCGGTGGATCTCAGCTTGGTCACCATTTCCGGCTCCAGCTGCTGCAGTTGTCTGCGTCAGTCTCCTCCAGTGGACGACTTCAGCCTCGAGACGCGTGACTTCTGATAACAGACGGTTTATTTCCTGCTGGGACCACAGCACGTCGCTCAGGTCCAGCTCGTCTCCTTGGAAACCATGGTGAGTGGCAGTGGGGCGGGACATCAGATCGGGACTCTGTACTGCTGTCTACCTCTGTACAGGTGGAGCTGTGGGCGGACCTTGGAGCGTGGTGCGTCAGGGCCCGACGATTTGGTCGTGTATAGTGACACTTGGCACTCTCATCTTCGGCGCATACAGTCTTTGTTTGAGCGTCTGGCAGACGCGCATCTCACCGTGAACTTGGCGAAATGCGAGTTTGCCAGGGCTACGGTGACATACCTCGGACGTGTGGTGGGGCAGGGTAAAGTAGCGCCTGTGCACGCTAAGATTTTAGCTGTCGCTGACTTTCCCCCGCCAGCCACTAAGAAGGAGCTTCAACGTTTCCTGGGGTTAGTGGGATATTATAGGAGCTTCTGCAAAAATTATCAGCTCTCTGCGGGAGGCGAGTGATCGCAGGCTGAGAGAGAGTGAGGCTGTCAGCAGGCCGGTCCATAAATAGGCGTGGCGCGTCGGGCCCTGACGCACCACGCTCCAAGGTCCGCCCACAGCTCCACCTGTACAGAGGTAGACAGCAGTACAGAGCACGACCACAGAGAGGAGGAAGGGGTCGTGACAAAAGTCAATCCAGGGCTGAACTGGGAGCCTGTGGAGATCCAATGTGTCACATGAGAAACTAAAGTCAGAACGCAATCCACAAATTGTAGATGTTTTTTTTTGTGTTCAAGCTGAAATAGGACAATTCTGATGTATGTGTTAGTTAAGATTTAGTTCTGACTCCTCACTCAATGTGCACCGTGTAATGCTTCATTTGAACAGTAAGCACTGCACTCTTAGCTCTGCACAGTGTTTGGACAGGTCTATGTCCCCAGTTCTTATGAGAGTGTCTCCTTTCAACATCAGAACATCAATCGTGTATGTCACTCAGCAGTCATTACCACCGATCATTACATGAGTCTGAATCATGGTACAGACTGGGAAACTTTCACCCTGTCGCTCATCAAAGCTCCCAGCAGGAGACCTTTCAGTACATGCAATAAAAATATATAATCTATATGTATCCATTTACTTTAACGTACAGGCTTGGAGAAGAGAAACTATGGTGCAACAGTCAATATGAGGATAAAAACAAGTTAAGTGTAATCACGGCTTAATAAATGAAACTAAAATACAGAGAAAACAACTTTAGGAAATATTTAATAAGGCTTTTATCTTTAGAGTAGTAGAGTATATGCCTTTTCATTCAGATGATTCTAATTGAATGAGCTGTAACTAAACGAATTTATATAGACCATCCTTGCTCTCTGAATTAAAAGACGTTACCTTTAAAATCCCAAAGAAATCCATATAATGACCACTTGTACTGCCACTGTTCTTTCTCACATTTTTAATTGAGTGAAAGAAGTGGCCTATAATTATGGACAATTGCGCTACGACTTAAAAGACTTAATTTAACCAAGCTCTTCTTTGAGGGCATTGGCTGATAGAAAATCATTATCCCTATCATCAGTCACGGTGCGGGCATTTTGGTGCTGCATTGAATACTAAACACACAAGCTTTGAATGGGTACCCATGAAATAGAATGTTCAATCAAAAATACTGTACTATAATTTAGCCTTGAAAGAGAATACTTGTAGTACTTTTTGTTTTGTTGTGTTGATTATGATGTGTTTCCTTTTCATCTTTCCATCTGACATGCTGCTGCTTTGAAGCTAGCTCAGACTTCTCCAGGCTGGATCTGCCACTTCAGGAGGAGCAGGGCTTATTAGGTCCTGGCTTTATATAATCACATTGCCATTCCCCCACAGTATAGAGTACATAGAACTCTGATTGTTAATGTTTATTATTAACGCTCCTCCTTTTCGGATATATGCGCCAGGTCAGATGGTGTCATGGTGCATGTGTTAAAACCTCACTTTTGGCAACTACTATGTATGATCTGTGTTGGTTACATTACTTTGATTAAGTCATTACTTACACATTACAATGTTGTTGTTACTAATTACTTTACCTTTCGATTGTTTTGATATAAATGACATGTAATTTGTTTATTTGGATGGGACAGTGTGCATTAATGAAGGTCAGGTCCTATATCATCCTTTGTCACAGTGGCACTCACAAACATGCACTCATTAATATAACATGGGCTTTTATGTTTGATTGAAATATGTTCAAATAACTCCAGCATCTGCACACACAGCCGCTGGTTTCTGAAGGGTTTAGCTTCAGTCTGGGTTTGTCTACATTCAGAATTCTCTCATCGGCTCTAAATACAAAAAACATCAGAATGACAGGTATCTCAAAGTGTATATACATATAATAAATAAAACCTTCGATCAATCATGAATCCAAACAGAAAGCACAAATGTCAGCTCTCAGTGTTGTTCTGAGCAGGTTCTGTAATGGTTGCTGCAAGACCTTTTTTTTATGTTTTATAAAATGAAATAAATAAATCTCGGTGGGCTACCCCAGCTTTAGGATGAGAGTAGAAACGTCATAAATAAAAGATTGTGTAAGTCTCAACAGAAAGATTCTTCTCAAGGTAGAATGTTGTGATCAAGTCAGACCCCCACGTTTGATATCTGGTTTGAAAGTCTAATGGTAAGCTTTAATGTGACGGCACATTTTGAGGCATTTACTTTATTCTCCAAAATCCATCAATTTTGTTAAAGCACAACTGAAACTGTTGCCAAAGACGAAAAGTTATCTAAGGTCAGACCTGCCGTCTATTGATGTGCGCCTTTGACCAACCAACACTGACAGAAAAGGAATAAAGTAAGTAAAGCAGGGAAAATAAGAATGTTTTTGCAGAAAGTAGCGCTGCTGTAAAAAAGTATACTACATTCTGAACTATATCCATTAGCTCATTTATCTCACAACAATTAAAGAGTTTTTCCATTTGAATAGTCGAATGATTTCTCACTGTGGAAATATCATTTATTTGAAAATGGCTTTACTTCAGCGTTTTATGACTCAAATTATAAGTCAGTGATCCTTCCATTATTAATTAATTGTAACTCAATTGATCTTACAAAATTATGAATCTTAAAATGAGTTCCAGCATAAGTTAATTAAAGCATCCCATAATATGATGCAGCAATTGAATGAAATCAAATTGTTTTTGTTTCTAGGGGCAAGAGTGGCTCATTTGGTAGAGCATTAGCCTTTGAGCCTGAAGGTTGTGGGTTCAAGTCCTACTTTACGACTTCCACTGATGTTTGCTGTCCTTTGCCTGAAGCTACCACTGAAAGATCAAGGCTCCTGTTGACTCACCACCTGCAGGAGAATCAGTGAGGGGCTGGTGCTATGTGTAGTGGGTGCACAAATTCCATTGAATTTGTATTCAAGGAAAATGAAAGGTTAAAACTATATAAAGTGTGCATTTAGTCTTTAAGCACACAGCTACAGTCCGCCTTACTGTACACTCACTCATGCAGCTTTCATCTATTTAAAAGTTATGTACGAATGTATGTGTTTTTGAGTGACAAAAAGCTCCATGTATTTCTTGGAATTAATGGGATTGGAAACGGCATCAGTAAACTCATATTTTAAGTATATTGCGGTATGGTTTGGACTCTGGTATTACAATGATACTCATCGACAAAGTACTCATCTTCTCTATAAGGAAGTATGTGTTTTTATTGTTTACATATACTGTATGTAGTGAACAGTTGGGTGGCTCATTGGTGCCATGTGCAGTGGAAACGCAGCCATTGCTCCAGTTTCCGGAGGTTTTTCATGACATTGTCCCTGACTTTGACCAGTAGCCCCGTTTTGCAGGATCCCCCCGAGGTGCACAGTGGGGCAGTGGCTTCGTTCAGTTCAGCAATCACCTGGACTCCAGCTTTGACTCTAGCTTCCCTGAGAGCCCTTTGATGTGGAGTAGAGTAGAATCTACTTTGATGGCCCTAATCACAGTATGGACGTTAAACCCACAAAATCAGGCGTAAAACTTGCAGAAATGTGCTGGATATTCTGTTTGATCAATCAAAAAAGGTTGCCATGATATACATACTTTTGCAATATACATACTGTATGTAGGCAAGGCAAGGCAAGGCAAGTTTATTTGTATAGCACAATTCATACACAAGGCAACTCAAAGTGCTGAACAAGATAGCATTAAAATCATAAATAATCACAGAACATTAAAAAGAAAGATAAAAATATAAAATCCCTCAGTTGTATGCACAGCTAAACAGCACAGTTTTTAACTTGGTTTTAAACATAGTCATTGAGGAGGCCTGTCTCACATCTTCAGGAAGAATGTTCCAGATTTTAGCAGCATGAATCTGAAAAGCAGCCTCCCCATGTTTAGTTCTGACTCTGGGCACTAACAGGAGTCCAGTGAAGTCCCTGTGCTCCTCAGAGTCCGGGCTGGTTCATATGGGACTAACATGTCACTAATATATTTTGGTGCGAGGCCATGGAGAGACTTGTACACAAGCAAAGCTGTTTTAAAGTCTATTCTCTGAGCCACAGGAAGCCAGTGCAGAGACCTGAGGACCGGACTAATATGGTCGTACTTCCTGGTTCTAGTCAGGACTCGAGCTGCTGCATTTTGAATGTACTGCAGCTGTTTTACAGCCTGTTTGGACAGACCTGTGAGCAGGCCATTGCAGTAGTCTAACCTACTGGAGACAAATGCATGGATAAGAATCTCCAAGTCTGCTTTAGACACTATGTTTTTGATCCTGGAAATGTTTTTTAGATGGTAAAAAGCTGCTGATGTTACTGATTTGATGTGGCTATTAAAATTTAAGTCTGAGTCCAGTATTACCCCTAGATTTCTGACCTTGTTTGAAGGTTTTAGGGAGAGAGACTGTAGATGACAGATGACGCTCTCTCTTTGTTTCTGGGGACCAAAGACAATCATTTCAGTTTTGTCTGCGTTTAGCTGAAGGAAGTTGTTTTGCATCCACTCACTGATCTGTTGGATACAGTGAAGGAGTGAGTCCACTGGTCCATGTTCTCCTGCAGTCAGTGAGACATAGATCTGAGTGTCGTCTGCATAGTTATGATAGGAAACTTCGTTTCTGCGTATTAACTGACCTAACGGCAGCATGTAGAGATTGAAAAGAAGAGGTCCCAGGATCGACCCCTGTGGTACTCCACAGGTCAGGGCCATATGATCTGAGACCCAGTTTCCAATCTCCACAAAGTACTTCCTGTCTTCAAGGTAAGACCTAAACCAACTTAGGGCGGTGCCAGCGACGCCAACCCAGTCCTCTAGTCTCTGTAAGAGGATCTCATGGTCGACAGTGTCAAAGGCAGCACTCAGATCTAACAGGATTAGGATTGAGACTTTGCCTGCGTCAGTGTTTAGCCGGATATCATTTGTAACCTTGACGAGAGCAGTCTCAGTGCTGTGGTGGGGTCTAAAGCCGGACTGAAACATATCAAATGAGTTGTTGATTATAAGAAATCTATTTAGCTGTTGGTAGACAACTTTTTCAAGGACTTTCCCCATAAATGGCAGATTTGAGATGGGACGGTAGTTGTTAAGTACCGTAGCATCCAGACTGCTCTTTTTAAGCAGGGGCCTGATGACTGCAGTTTTCAGGGCCTTTGGGAATATTCCAGAATGAAGGGACATGTTTACTATCTGTGTGAGTGAAGGTAACAGACTGCTCAGAACAGACTTTAGAAATCTAGTGGGTAGTACATCCAGGCTACATGTGGAGGCGCTCAGACTGGAGATTATCTCTTGGACAGTTTGATCATTTACAGGTGCAAAGTAAGTTAGCTCAAAGAGCCTTTCTGGCTGTAGGATGCTTATCTGTGGATTGGAGACAATGGCGTTTTTGATGCCTTGAACCTTGTCATTGAAAAAATGTGCAAACTCATTACATTTACGTTTGGAAGTTAGCTCTAATGGCATCTGAACAGGGGGGTTTGTTAATCTATTAACTGTTGAAAACAGAACACGCAGATTGTTGCTGCAGCCTTCAATCATTTCAGAAAAATACCTTTCTCTCGTACTACGTAACACCTGTTTAAACTCGCACAACTTATCTTTGAAGATCTCGTAATCAACCTGGAGGTTGGACTTGCGCCACTTCCGCTCGGCCCTCCGGCACTCTCTCTTTTGTGCCCTGACCGAGTCTGCTTTAGCCCACGGCGCCTTCTGCTTATTTTTCACTATTTTAACCTTCACAGGAGCGATGGTGTCCAGAACATTCAAAACACTAGAGGTGACAGAGTTAAACAGTTCATCTACAGTAGAATACGATGCATTCTCAAAGTTTATCATTCCCATAAATAGTTCACCCGTATTTTCATTTATGTGTCTTCTTCGTACAGTTGCAGAGTCCACTGGTGGTTTGTTAGTGAAACACATGTCAAAAAATACACAAAAATGATCCGAAAGCACAACATCGACCACGTTTACATTTGAAATATTCACCCCCTTAGTAACTAACAGGTCTAGAGTGTGCCCTCTGCTGTGGGTGGGGCCACTCACATGCTGAGTGAGACCAAAAGATTCAAGAACAGAACTCAGCTCTTTTGCCTTTCTGTCAATAACATTATCCACATGAATATTAAAATCCCCTGTAATAACTAAGCTATCAAAATCTGTGCATAAAACTGAAAGCAACTCCGTAAAATTATCAATAAATCTGTGACATGACTGCGGTGGCTTGTATAGGACAATGAAGAGTATTGGACTAGATTGTTTTTGTTGTATTTTAAAAGACACATATTCAAAAGACGGAAACTTCCCAAGAGACATTCTATGGGAGACAAAGTGGTCTCTGAAAATGGCAGCTAAGCCTCCTCCTTTTTTGTTTTCCCGTATTTCAGATTCAAATTTGAAATTTGGTGGTGATGCTTCTATTAAAACTGCATTTTCTGTATTTTGGTCAAGCCATGTTTCAGCCATGAACATAAGATCTAGATTATAAGAACAAATAAAATTATTGATTAAAAAAGACTTGTTACAAAGAGATCTGACATTTAGCATAGCAAGTTTCAAAGTTTCAGTATCAGCGGTTGTGGTCGGCTGATTCTTACACGGAACAAGAATTAGATTTTCCTGATTAGACTGATTAACTTCAGATGTTTTTCTGTAATGTATTCTTTGTGTTATCACTAAAGGAATGGCACAGGTGGCTTCATGACAGGGCCCCAGCCGGGTCTCTCCTCTAACTAGACTGCCAGTGGCTGCGAAGCAGAGACCCTGTGCATCCTAGTGTTTAGAGAAAAGAGGGGAAGGGGAAGGTGGGGGAAGAGGATGGAGAGGCAGGTGGTTCTTGGGAGTTGGACGGGGGGGGGGTTGAAGGTGGATGGGTTTTTGGTGATGGGTTAGGGGAGGAGCAGGCTGAGTTGGGTGGTGGACGAGGGGGGAGTGGAGGTGGAGGGTTTCTTGGTGCTGGGTTAGGGGGGAGGTGGGCTAAATGAGCAGGAGGGACGGGTGGATTTTGTGGGAGAATTTGAGTTGGACGCCCTAGGTGGCTTTGGAGGTACGTATGGGGAGTAGTTTTGAATGTTAGATAGGACTCTTGATCTGGCTACAGTGGGTGTGAGAGGAATAGTCTTCATCGCCGATCTTATCATGCCTGCCGAGTGTTCTGGTAATTCCAGTAGTGAAGGCGGGGATAGAAAACAAAGGGAAAGGTCGTCCTCATTTTCCCTAGATGGAGTGGATGTAGCGGGGGGGACCCAAGCCGGGTCCATGGAAGGTGATGAGGGAGTCTTTGGTGGAGACAGAGGTGGTTGAGGAACCCCCAGTACAGGCCTGACTGTAGCCTGGAGCAGTGGGGGAAGCTTCACGGGAGCTGTAGGTGGGGAAGGTGCTGCTGAAGATGATGGAGCAGCCACTGCTGCTGCTGAAGATGATGGAGCAGCCACTGCTGCTGCTGAAGATGATGGAGCAGCCACTGCTGCGGCTGTATCCACTGCTGCTGGTGGTGCTGTATATGCTGATGGCGCTGATGAAGATGTGGCAGCTGCTGATGATGCTGGTGGTGGAGGCGTTGAGCTCTTTCGGAGCCGTGGAGTTGAGTTCTTTTGGAACCTTGGAGGTGTTGAGTTCTTCTTGAATCGTGGAGGTGTGGAGTTCTTTTGAGGCGGTGGGGGTGCAGAGACCTCGGGAGTCGGTGGAGATGGTCGTGATGTCTGTGCCCTTTGCTTCTTCTTTCTCCCTTTCAGGTGTAAACCCTATTTTCTGATGTTGAGCAACATCAGAAACCCCCGCAAGACTATAGGATTGTTATGAATCTGTAGATTTTTATTTAACTGCTGACGTGATAAACAAGTTAATCACAATTGGGATAAAATAGAGCATTTTTTGAAAATGTAGTATTTATGGTCATTGGTCAAAGTTGTTCTATCTTCTTTGGTTGACAAGAGAAAAAGAGGCTAGATGAAAACTCATTATTCTGAGCCTGTCAGCCAATCTGCATATATAAATGTACACTCCATTTAACAATGGCAAAATCTTATTCTGAGAGAATTTTCACATGAAGACAAATAGATAGTCACATATTTATTTTTTTGCAATCAATGTCATATTCAACCCTGCAACTTATGTACAAAAAATCTCATATTTCAGGTTAACAATAATCTTTCTAAAGCATAGGAGGATAAATAAATATGGAGTTGGATGATGTTACAAAACATCTAGACATAGGAATTTGTGAAGTGAAAAGCTGAACCTTTAAAGCAAAGAATGTCACTGATTTAAAAGCAAATAAGTTGTTCTGGGGTATTTTGGTGCACGTCTTTGTGTGAGGTGCGTTTGTAGTTTAAAATATTCAGTTTGTGGGGGCTTGTCATGCTTTGTGTTTTTCACTTGACTAAAGAGAGAGAGAGATTAAATTTGAGTCTGAAATGCCATCAGTTTTCTCTCTGTAGGACAGAAGGAGGAAGAGCTGAGGGAGGTTCTGTATTTTGGGAGTCCGAGAGGTTCATCTGGCTCAGTGATATGCAGGTCACACGCTCCTGATCCACCATCAGCCGCACGGCTGCCCTCGCTCTGAAAGAGAAAAACATACAAAGGATCATGTAATGTAGCACTAAATATTCATTGCTTTATAATTGTCAATTATCCTGTTTTAACATGGTTTTATTCTTCACCTGCGCTCAATTTTTGTCACAAACAAGAATTTGAATCATGAACAACAACTGGTCTCGTATGAATGAAAGAACTGTGCCCAGGTGAAAAAGATATGGCTCACTGTACAATGCAAAGACGTTTTTGAAGCGACCTCAGTCAGTGCTATACCTGAGGTATAGACCTCAGACTTTCCACCTCAAACATGACATATAGAACTAATGTATGTCTTTGGCCAATGTGGTTGGATCTGTTTGATTACAGGGCTTTCCTCTATTCCTCATGTGTCAGACACAGGACCCGGGGCCATTTTGGCCACATTGATGTAATATGTTATTATGGCTGCCCTAACATTTTATACCTAATTTTAAAGATTATTTTCTCAAGAAAACAAGTAGAAATTCTATTTGGTTTTTACTGACATTGGCACATCAGTAAACACTTACAAGCTTTCTTCATCTTTGGTCCAGTTTTTTGTTCATTCTAAGCAAAAGTAATACTTTCATCAAAAAGAGTTTATAATGTAAATAACAAACTAACTCTCACTACTGTTCTATTTTCCTTCCCTAACCAGTTTACCAACATGAGATTGAAATCCTGCTCTCATCTCTTTTGTGGTAGACCTGTCCATGTGCACAAGCAAACAAAGCAGAAGTTGTCAATAATGTAATAATGCTTTAATTCAAAAAGACAAGACCCACCTAGAATTGACATCCCTATCTGCCAATGAATGATATTTGTTTCCTCGGTTGAGGAATGTCACTTCTACATAAAAAGATATCGAATGCAGTTTTTCTTGTTAGTTGTTCTTGTGGATGAGCGTTTCTAAAGTTTGACTATAAAGGAAACATGGCTGAAAGAACGTTAAAATTATCCTGCCACATTCACTTTCCTAATTAAATAAGTTATTTAAAAACGGCGTCTGCTGCATCTGTTGTCATCACTTTATGCTCTTAATTATTATTTTTTTGTACATTTGTTTTTTAATTTTTGGTAATGGGAAAATGTTTCAACGTAGAAAAGAATGAGTGGATTCCTCAAAAACATAATCAACAACTCGGAAAATTGTGTCCTATTCAGAATGGTGCCACTTAAGATCATTTGAGATGGACTTTTCAGAAAAGTTGTTAAAGTGTGGTGCATTATCTTCACCAGGAGAAGAATGTGTTTTTGCTATTTGGAAAATTCCCTGAACACAGCTATTCCTACTCACTGTACTCTCACACTTGCAGTGGGCTTTACAGTTGGTTTTTGTAACTTGAAGGTGTTAAAGAAGAGTATACAGAGGTGATAAACAGCTCTTTGTGTTTGATGGAAATGTTAAAAGCCTCATTCCCAGCGGCCAAGACAGAATTCTTAATGGGAAAAGGCAATGGGAAATAATTTTGGTTAATACTGTAGGATCAATTTTGTTATAAAAAGATAGACAGTAGGGAAAGCAAAGAAAGGGCTTCACATCCCAGTCAGTGCAGGAGAGAAGCAGTCTGTGTTTTGAATGCATCCGTGAGAAGATCAGTGGATGCTGTTGTGACGAGAAAATTGTCACTTTGAGTTTCTCGACTTAAACTCTGCATTGTTTTTGCGCAAAATATGCAAATTTGGTCCACACAGAATTGCCTTGAGTCGATTCATTCTTTGCAGTTTATTGCACTTGCTTTAATCATGGGGTAAATTCACCAATTGCCCGTCAAACAACTCAAAAGGCTGGAGTGAGCCGTGGTCAGAACAAGAAATGTCTTTCATAGAGAAACCTATAATCGGCTGACTTTACTAAAGGGTATTCTCGATAAAGACTGGCAGGTGGTGGACTCTCAAGTACAAAAATACCCATAAAGAATGTATTCTGGACTCAAAATTTTTTTGAAATGTGAGCAAGTAAGAATAAGTTTGAATATTTTTCAGTCAAACAATGACTGTGTTTACAAAGCTTATTTTCCTAAAACACTTAAAAAACTCTTAAAACTCATAATGCAACCATCTCAGTAGGATTACTATTGCAATAAAACATCATGAGTGGGATAAATCTAACCTGTCTCACAACAAACTCCACACAAAAAAGTTTGTTGTGAGACAGGGTTTGAGCCCACCACAAGACCGTCACAACTCCCACTAATGTCTTCTTTCGTTGTGTCCTTGGGCAAGACACTTAACCCCACTTTGCCTGAAGCCCCCACTGAAAAATCAAGGCTCCTGTGGACTCACCACCTGCAGGAGGATCAGTGAGGGGCTGGTGCTATGTGTACTGGGTGCAGTTGTGACTGCCCCCCCCGACCCAGAAATGGATTAGGGAGAAGGAAATGGATTGATGGATGGCCTTTAGGAAAAAGTAAACATGTCATGCAACATCTTGTTTACTTTGAGAATTTGGCTTTCACACATTCTCAACTGCAGCAGCACAAGACATTTCATTTTTGAAGAGCAAAAAAAAACGCACCACGTTTTCTACTGTTGCCTTTTCAAATGCATCACTGCTCTTTACAGGAGTTTATGGTACGTGGTAGAACCAGTTCATTTCAAGGGTCTTTCCCCAACTAAATCAGATCAAAATTTGTGGAAGAATCCAGTTTCCTTTCCCTCAGCCTCATGAGCCATAGTTTGACCTGTCTTTTAAACAAACCCATGACAGTAACATTCTGCACTGTTGTTGTGCAGGAATTGAGACATTCTTTTCATGGTGTCAGAGGGAACACACCAACATCATAATGTTTTGAAAATGATAAATCCGTGTGTGTCTTGAGAGCCCAATTATTGCCTCAAACCACAAGTCTAAAGCATGCAACTGACGCAATGTTCGATGTGAGGAAGATTGGGCTCATAGTGATGAAGTGTTGTATTGTACCTTTGTGCTGTCACTGAACTGTTGAGATTCAAAACGCCTGAAGGGACCGCATTCAGACTTGAGATGAGGCTCTGCTGTCAGTCTTGTGACGGGACTCACTGAACGAATCACCCCCGGCCTCGTCTAGAACATGACAGCAGTGAATGTGCTGCATTCTCACATCTCAGCACAATGAGCAATTAAAATGTACCTCATCAGAATCAGCTCTTCTTTGATTATATCCGGGTGGATTCAAATGTCCAACAGATGCCTAAATAAAAAACAAAAAAAAAAGACAAATACAAATCATAACACAAATGCATCGTCCACTGTCCATCTCATTTCTTCCGCTTTTTCTAGGGTTTTTCTATCTATCTATGTTTGGAGTGGTAAATTTTTCATCCAGTGCTGTTTGTCATTGCCAACAGCAAAGCCCATAGGAGGCGAAACACATTCGAGCTTCCTGGTGGACAGTGTGGAGATGTAATTCCTTTGCCTGGTTTCAGAACTGTTGACAGGTTGGAACAAAAGAGACTCTGGTCAGGGCCCTATGATCTAAGGGCCAAGAGATGTACCCTTTTCCCAAATCATATTAGAGGGGGACAGCTGTCTGACATCTTTCTGTGGAACCACAGATTTCCATTAGTTGGGATGTGAGAACCATTCACAGTGTGAGATTAAACCTCTGGCTGGAAATGTTTTGTCTCTTTTCAGTTGTGCTGAACTGACTCCTCAGAGATCAAGAAAAGCATGTGCAGTTTATGAAATAGAAGTGTTTATGGAGATCACACCAGTTTGTACAAACGACGAATAGGTATTAATTATGTTTTACTGTGCCCCCTAACAATAACACAGTTTACCGTTTGCCTTTTTTTCTCTACAATTGTGGATGCTTTTTTGCAGTGTGTTTGTCATGTGCCGTGTCTATACTCAAACAACAGCATACACAACATTGTGTAGCCGCTAGTATAACATGAGTTACCTTTGTATCTTGTCATGTCTGATAGCAAATTGACAAATTAAAGGCTGGCGACAGTGGCACAGTGGTAGAGCATTGGCCTGACGGCTATGGGGTCGATCCCCCACAAGACCTACTCCACCTACTCCCACTGATGTCTGCTGGTGTGGTGTCCCTGGGCAAGACACTTAATCCCTCTTTGTACTGAAAGATCAAGGCCCGTTCAGAGCAGAGATCCTCCTGTGGCCCCTCCTTCTGCAGGAGAATTAGTGAGGGGCCGGTGCTTTTCCAATTGGGTGGCAGCTCTCATTGCCACCCCTCTGAACCCATTTCCAGAAATTGATTGGTATTTTGCTGAAAACACCATCCATCCATCCATTTTCTACCCTTTAATCCATTTCTGGGTCAGGGGGGTGGCAATCAGAGATGCCACCCAAATCTCATAGCACCAGCCCCTCACTGACCCTCTGCAGGTGGTGAGTCCACAGGAGCTGAGATCTTCCAGCGGGGGCTTTGGGCAAAGTGGGGTTAAGTGTCTTGCCCAAGGACACAACAACAGCAGTCATCAGTGGGAGTCTGCTGAAAACACATCAGCAACTAATTTGTTTACAAGCATCTACAAGAATTGCACATCTAGAAATTGAAAGTTGCGTCCAAACATCTTAAGCCCTGTCAGATTGGATGAGGAGCAGTTTTCCCTCAACAGATTTTCAGTTGGGTTTATGCCCGGGTTCTAACACATGAATATGTTTTGTTGTAAACCATTCCATATGCTGCTTGCCCATAATGCTCTGCTCCTTGGGGGGTAGAGAGTATACAGCTATTTCTTATATGAGATTCATCAACAATGAGGAGCATTGGTCTCAATGCCAACAAAAGATCTCAAAGCATGAACACATTTGGCTGATGGAGTAGAAATTTGCTGTCCATCTCTTGCTGTTCTGTAAAGTTGTAGTTCTGAGTTGGATTTCTCTTTGTTGAAGTATTGACACAGACTGACGCAGTTTCTTTGAACAGTGATCATATTTAGATTGCCAATAATTATTCATTGTGTATGCAAATATATGTGCACACAAAAGACGGAAATGTGCAGCTGTTTTACTTACATATTTTGTTTCCCGACCATAAGAATGTGGAAAGGTCATCTTGTTTTTCTGCAGGTAAAAAGTAAACAAACAATGTAGTGACTGAAGTGACAAAAATCCCCATCTGAAAGAACAAAATGTCACAGCCAAATGACAAAAGTCTGATGACAAGAAATCCATTGCAGCTCACAGGCAGCAACACTTTTGGTGACTATTGTAACTCAAAATCCTATAATCCTGATCCATGACATTAATATTAATGAATAACTGTAGCGTACCAGAAAAATCAGATTTGCAGAACTGAACAGCTTGGAATTGAGTAAGGCACTGCAATATGAAAGTATAACTTACACCAAATATTAGAAAAAAAATACCAGTCTCCATCCATACCTGACTAGATTTTATGAAAAATGAGAATCATTGCTGTAGTGGTACACAATCCAAGTTTATTTATTTTTTTTTATTAAATATTTTCTTGAAAAAGTTACCGAACAATTGGTTTTATTGGTCTCTCTGATACCTTTGTTTTCCTCTTTGATTTTACGACAAAAGTTTTATGAGGGAAATGCCTGGATTACTTTTGATGTACAGTACCTGTGTCTCGTTGTTAATTGGTGATTTGGATTTCTGCAGAGAAAAGAGCGCATTGATAAACCGTGCCTGTACAGAGCTGGTGTATTATTGAACACTCACAGGTGGAATGGAGGTGTTCCCTAGAATCTCATCAATGACAGCGTATAACTCCTCTGACTCCTTCCGCAGCCAGGCCGGGCAACACATCTGCACCACAAAAACTAATGTTTACAGTTGTATGGTGACATGTGGGTTTGAATGGGTCCGAGGTGTGTGTAGTTACTTCTTTGTCTGTGTCGGCATCGTGTGCGTCTAATGACACACCTCTGTCCCCAGTGCTGTCCTGGCTGCTGTCCACCTGCTCATCTATCACCTGCAAACACACAGAGCGGCTTCAGTGTCACAACCACTGGTTCTAACCTCTGCACAGCGGCGTCTCTGTTTTTCACCCATGTTGTTTTTGTGACCTGTTGGTCTGCATGAGGGACAGATTTCAAATAATTTCTACACTGGTGCAATTGTTAGAGCTTTTGGCTCAAAGCAAGAAGGTCCTGGGTTTAGAATGTGCGGCATATGGACTTTGCATATTCTATCTGTGTTTGCAAAGGTTTTCCTGGATGCTCTGGATTCCCCTGCTCCTATGAACGTAAAACAAAAAATCCTTCAGTCGAGGCCAAGGCTCGACTGAAAAAAAGATTCTTGAATGTCACTGGGACAAAGCAAAGTAAAATGTGTTAAAGTATTGAATACTTAAGATGCAGTTTGACTGAACGTCTGAAGTGATTTGAAACGCTAGAGTGACTACATGCTTTGTTACATTGTTTAAGAATAACATGGTCGTATTTTGTTTCTTGAACACACTTGCACGTTTCTTCCTAATGTTTTGTTGCTATCACTGTGTTGTCTAAAGCATTAATAAAATAAAGTTCTTATATTCTAACAGCAAACAAATAGGAGTAATTTAGCTTCTTAAAATCAAGTTTGCATTATCCCTGGCCAGCTAAAATTACATCTCTTCTTCTCCCCGTGGTTGAATTACATAACAAGCCAAATACAAAACCAACTAAGATGTAAAAACTCACCTGTTGATCCAGTAGCAGAGTGTTCGTAGGAATTGCTGCCAAAGACTTATAGCGCGACTTGATTTTGTGTGGCTGTTTTTTTATGAGAAGACAGATTAAGTATTAGCAGAAGGAAGACATTTTTATAAATTATCATTATTTGTGTCCTGCATTTCCAGAGGCATGCGATATCTGCTTTGACGGCTTCTGTGCACTTATCATCCCCATGCAAAAGCACACACTCAAGAAAAATAGCACACAGCCATTAGCTCGTGAGGGGGAGATAAAAGGAAATGCCAACACTTCTCAGGCTGGAACACCGCAGGCATCTGTAAATGTTTGGCCATGTTCTTCTTATAAACTGTTTTGTGTTCAGTACAATAATTTTTGGTGACGTGAAACCTGGTTTAGAAAATGAATGTAATGTTATTTACATATCCCGGATAAGTTGATGATCAAAAGTATTAGATGGATGTATGAGCTTAAGTAGGTCACAAGTTTCTCACATTGGGAGGGTTCGTTCATTTGATTTAGTTCCAAAGGCAGCAAGGATTATCCTGTTTATAATAATGCATCGGTTTTAATATAGATTTACTCCATACACGGTGGTGATAAACTACCACTGTAGCCACAGTTGCCCTGAGGCACACTCACAGAAGCGAGGCAACCAGTAAGCGCCATCGGTCCCTCGAACCACCACCAACCATTCATGCACATATCGGACTCGTTCTCGCCAATGTGGGTGAAGTGTCTTGCCTAAGGACACAACAGTTTGGCACTTTACATCCACAGCCGCCCCGCTGTGGCACCTGGTGTTCCCAGAGGTCTCCCATCACAGCACTAACCAGGCCCTGCCCCGCTTAACTTCATAAGTCTGACAAGATCTGAATTTGTGATGTTTATGATCAGGCCTATTATTTAAGCTAACATAATTCTTGAATATTGAAGCGATTAGTGAAATAACTGCATAAAAACTGCATAAAACTTCTCTTAAGCGAGTTTTTCAAAAGGTTGTATGTTCGTTTGTTGTTCCACCACCACATGCGACCAATATTCCTCTTGGGAAAATGAAGATCTCAATTTGAGTTGTTGTCAAACAGTATTTTTTTTCCCCCCATTTCAACTTTAGTGACAACCGCACAGTGCAAAACACTTGCACTCAAATTCAAAAGAAGGAGGAGAAGAGAAGAAAAGGAGCTCTTTTTATCTGCTTTGATAGCTGCACTCACTCCAAACGCCCCCCTGCAGTTTCACAAAATGCCATTTTTTGTTTTTATCAAAGACAACGTTTAAGAATGGTTCTTGTGGTTGATAGAAAATAGCATGGGGGTCTTCATTCTTGAGTTCCCTGAGATGTATGTGTTTTATTGAACACATTTAGTGTGCAAGCAATATTGTTTATATCTAACATTTTTGCTCAATGCAGCACAGTTCTCTTCTCACAGCTTTACGCCAATATGTATTACATACAACAACAACAAAAATGTATTATTGCATTTTCTAGTTCCCAAATCCGGTTATTATTTGTTAAATGTCTTTAAATGAAAAAACCCAAAATGGTAATTTTTTTGATATTGCCGTGTGCCTGAAAATGCAAAATAGCCTTTTTTTGATTATCCATTTCCCTTCAAAAATAGAAAATTTATTGAATGCAAAAGTACACGGACCTTTAACCAAGATGTTTGAATTTATTAGTTTTACAACCCCTAAATCTTGTTATCGTTTTCATTTCGATGTCCCGCCCTCTACTGTTTCGCCAGTCAGAAAGTCTGTGATCCGGGTTGCCAGAACTCACCACGTCGAGCTAATCTGACTGGTTAAGTAACATGTGGCCGCAGAACTAAAAAAGGTCTTGTTATGATTCTTAAATCATAACAAACAAGACATAGAATAAAATGAGGCATTTTATCAGGGCCTTTGTAAAAAAGAAGTTGGTTATAGATTTGTCGTTGACAAAACTCAACTGGTCCCAGCTGGATTCGTCTGCATATCTGGCAACCTGAGTCAGGGAGAGCAGGAGAGTTTGCAGTACCACTGATTTTTTTACAGGCTTCTCCTTTAAATATCAAACTAAGTAATAGTTGGAGACATGTGATTGGTGAAATACAAAATATTGCTCTAAAGGCAGAGCATTAAAGAATAATTATAACATGCAATTTGTACAGGCTAATGACAAGGGAAGGCCTCTATAATTAACGATGTTAACGAGCATTCATGTGAGGACTAAACACACCACAGAGCATGCACATGGGCAAAGCTACCTTTCTTTTAACCTCCCTGTCCGGGCCGTCTGACAGTCCACTCCCTGGGCGCGGAGATGGCGTGGACCGCAGTGACAGTGAGGGTGAAGATGTGAGATCTCTGATTGGTGGAGCAGGCGATGGGCGGGGGAATGATGACGCACCCAGAAGAGGCCTTCCTGAAAGAGCCGTGGGCGTGTGGCGAGACGGAGACAGTAAATGAGATAGGTGAGGTGACATTTTTGGCTCGGATTGGCTCGGAACAAGTGGCTTCCCTGCTGTGAGGTGCGTAGGTGATGGTGAAGGCGAATAGGCAGAAGTAACATCTTGAGAAAAGCTGTTAGGAGAAGACTTGCCCGGATGTGAATGTGACTGAAGTTTGGAGAAAGAGTAGTGAGGGAGGCGGGCCCATGTCTGTGAAACACCTGGGTCTGGTTCAAAAGCAGGTTCAGGGGAGAGGCAAGTAACTTTATTGGGGCTATCTTGAACATTGACACAAATTGAGGGCTTAACCGTGGGGGGTAGAGGCTTGGCAACTGACACATAAGATTGATTTATTGGAGAAATGGATTTGACAATAGATGAAGAGACAGACTGTGGAGCCGGGCGGAGCGAGCTGTATTTCTTCTGTTTTTTCAAAGCGCTCAGAGGCGGTGGTGAAATGACTTTCTGCCATCTTTGGACAATGTTCGTCTTGATTTGATTCTGGTGGGGAGTGGTTTTGCACAGGAGTGGTGGAGCAGTGGCACAGCGGCTCGGATCCCTGTACGCATCACTTTGGCTGTCTATGGACGTTGTGGAGGAAAAGTCAGACGATAGCTCGAAGGGAATCGACGCGACACTGGAAGCAGCCGAACAAGCGCTGCAATTGCCTAATGTGATGTTGTTGACCGGCCAGCAGGGAGTGTAAGGGCGCTGGACTGTGGAGGACAAAACTGGGAGACGACCTTTTCTTAAAATGGCTGTGAGGAGAGACAAACGTGTTAATGGGGGGCGGTGGCGGGAGGTTGTTGGAGACATTGGACACGATATGCTTTCACAGGAAGAGCGCAAGCTTTGTGGTAAGCTCATCAAGCTAGAACCAGGTGCAAGAACATGTTTTTTAACTGTGACAATAGAAGGGGTGAATATCCCAGAATAGATAGAAGAACAGGGCGAGATGGTGCGGCTGCTGCTGATAGAGGAAGCATCCTTTTCCGAGCATGCAGATAAGATGGACTCTCGAGAAGAGGCCGGAGTAGGAAACAAGTCTGCGGAGCTGGTGGGGCTGGATCTGTCATGTTGTGTTGTGAAATAACAACCCAGGCTAACCTCAGGCGCCCGCCCCGGGACACACTGATAGCGTTGCTCTGAAATTTCTGTGTGTTTATTTGCAGCTGCCTCCATTGGGGCCTGTTCCCCGTGAGAGATATTTTCAGACGGATCTCGGAAGGAGGGAGCCAGGCCAAACACAGGATCATGTGGAGGTGCACGCTGTAAAAAAACAGTGTCATTTAGGATCACGGCCAAAATCTGTTTATAGATAGCAATTGGGATCATAGGACATTGTTCTCAAAGGGGTTTGAAAGATGTACCGCGCTGTCTATCATCTATCTTAGTAACCAGATCAATAGATGATAGATGGCTCAAATACACATGTTCTTATTGTCTCACATCTTCTTAACCCTTTAGGTGCCAAAGTAGCAGAACAGCTTTTTCTATACAGTAGCCCGGCTTCCCATTCCCACGTTTCCCAATGTCTGTCTTACTGTGCTTGGTTACTCTAAATACATAATAAGCATTGTTATTGAATTATTACTGAATTAATTATGATTTTAAAAAAATATTGGTTTGTTGAGATGACACTCACGATAGCTATCTGTAGCATAACATTCAAAAGTACAAAGTATAGCGATGCAAGTATTTTTTGCATAGTCCATGAGCCACCATCGCCTTTAAAAAGGCCTGCAGTGTCAGCTTCACAAAATAATGTAATGTAGATAAATGACTGTATGATTGTGTTACTTACAGCGATGTTTCTGTACGATTGTACGCTGGTCCTTCCTCCGCTCCTCTCTGAGTTTGTGAAAGGCTGCTCTCTTGACATGGTGGTCTCCACCTCTACCACGTTCTGTCAGGAGAAAGTGAAGCAAATGTTTAGGGCTCTGAGGTGGTGAAACCTGAGCAGGGCGCAGGGCAAGCTGCTGTCAGCGGCTCATGGCCCCAACATGCATGACATATGGAGCCCAACATTCATCCCGTGAGCACATGTAACAGGTCACTCTGCGGGTCAGACTGCAGTCATACTGAACACATTTATAGGCAGAGCAGACGACACAACCAGGCCATGTTACAGTTCAAATCTAACACCCCGCCACAATTCCGTTCTCCTAATAATTAGTCACTCTCTGCGTACTTTCTTCCTAAACTCCTCAGATCTTCAAGGTCAATGTTTCAAAATCCTTATACTTATACTTGTTTCTTTAATGCTAGAATTAGAGATTTTGTTTTATTTCAATTAATATAGTTATTGTTCATTTATCTTGTGCTGTGTGCTCCTCTTTCCTACTGTTCTGTAACTTGTGATGCAACACTGAAATTTCCCCGCTGTGGGACGAATAAAGGATCTATTAATCTTTATAGTTTTGACCATCTATTTCAATGGATGGTGCAACACACCTTCTACACCCCTTACATTAACATAATAAAGTAAAAATGAGTTGGTTTAACCTAGTTCCCCAAATTCAAACAGTGTCATTGCGAAGATACTTTCTTTGATAGTAAACTCAACCATTGTGTTGAGTTTACTGTCACTTCTCTTTGCACACATTTGCTCAGTGTGCACCTCACTCATCTCTTGTGTGTCTCATGCAGGGCTGGACTGGCCATCGGGCGTACCGGGCAATGCCAGAAGGGCCGATGCCCATATTTGGGCCGGTCTGTCTGCCTCATACAAAACACATGTTTATGAAAAGTGTAAATCCGTTGAGAAATGTTCGAGGGGAGCGCGCGTGTCCGCGGGGCACCTGCTGTATGTACTCGAACGGGATTCCACCACCTCAGCGGCCGCAGTGTTCCCGCATCCAGCGGCTCTGAGCTGGACGCGGGAACCGCTCAATGGGAGCCGCTCACAACACAACACGGTGAGCGCGTAGCCGCAACGTGACCATGTTCGCAAGACCATAAACGCGCACAGGACCATGCATGTCTTTGCGTAATTTGTGCACCCAATAAATACACCGCTGCAGAAAACAGTCCGCGTCTCCCCTCTCCTCAAAATTAAAGCTCGGGTACCTAAATTTTCCTTTGCATTAAAAGTTGATGTTTGAGCCCAAAAATAAAATGTTGTGAACAGATTAAACAGATTTAGAGCCAGCTAATGGCTGACAATATGCATTTCATAAATGTTTACCAATTCTCATCCCTGTAACAAACAATAGTATTGTCTGTGCCCACCTCCCTCACTCTGAGACATTTTTATTACTCTGTTTAATGTAGACTATTGTACTTTGTTTTATTGTTGAAACTGTACACATCCTGATCCTCTACAGTATTTGCTTCCACATACTGTATAAACCAGGGGTCGGCAACCTTTAGTGCCCCTAAAGTGGCTCCTGGAGCCTTTTCAAAAATGTCTGAAAATGGAGTGTGAGGGCTATATTTTATTTCTAGTTTGAATGTGGTTTTTGTAGGAGGAAAAACATTGACGTTTTTCAATTCTGCAAAAACTTGTATAAGTAATATTCAATTTAAACATTTCTGTCAACGTAGTGCGTCATATTCTGTGACGCGGCCCGTGCCAGGCGGCCGCTGCTGTAAACAAACCGGCGTGTGTGCATTACAGACTGTGTGTGCCCAAAGATAAAGAGAGAGTCGATAAGACTGGACTAAGAATGATAATGAACATTTGCTTTCAGTCAATGAGGAAGGACTGCTTCATGTTTGCGATGTAATGAAAAGTTTTGTTGCAACAGGAGGAACAATGAAGCTTTAAACACTGTTCACTGAAAGATTCATTCATCATAAAGTCAGAGCACCTATTTTCAGACTTCAAATACCTTCGCAAAGACGGCGAAAGAAAAGGCCATTAAGGACATTCACCTCCAGCAAACTTCAGCCTGTGATGTGATCGATATGAACAGACAGTGATGCAGGTGAACTCGGAGCCAAAAAGCAGATTTATTTACTGTATTTGTACAATTGCATGAAGGTTAAACTTAAAGCAGAGTCGTCACGTGGTGCGTCATTCTTTCCAGGACACGCTGCAATGAAAATACACATATGATAATCATGATTTGTAGCCTTTACTTTGTCATTTAGATATTAGGCTAATATAGCTAATATAGCTAATGTAGCTAAGGTAGCTAATGTAGCTAATGCAGCTTCAGCCCGTTACCTTCATATAAGCCTTATACACGCTTTTTTTTGCGGCTCCAGATAGATGTTGTTTTTAGTTTTTTTGTGTCCGTTTTTTTGTTTTTGGGCCGCTAAGAAGGAAAAAATGCCCGGGCCGTTTTTTTGTCCCAGTCCAGCCCTGGTCTCATGACTTTGTTGGGGTCTTTCTAAAAAAAATCTTTGTGGTCAAAATGGGAAAAATATACACTATATATACACTAAATGTATTAAGACGCAGACTCAAACCTTTGCTCCACATTAAAATCCTTTAAAGTTCACTCCTTGAAAAGGAATGAACTTATTTTTTTGGGAGGAGCACTAATAACAAAAATAATATGTTTTAATTGTTTTGGAACAGTGGCTCAGTTGGTAGAGCATTGGCCTTTGGGCCTGAAGGTCGTGGGTTTGAGCCCACCTCGAGACTTACTTCAAGACTCTCACTGATGTCTGCTGCTGTTGTGTCCTTGGGCAAGACACTTAACCCCACTTTGCCTGAAGCCCCCACTGAAAAATCAAGGCTCCTGTGGACTCACCCCCTGCAGGAGGATCAATGAGGGGCTGGTGCTAAGTGTACTGGGTGCAGCTCTGACTGCCACCCCCCGACCCACAAATGGATTAAGGGGAAGAAAATGGATGGATGGATGGTTGGAATAGCTTTTTAATTATAGACCTCTACCAGATGATTGAGATGAAGGTTGATGGTAAACGAATGTGTGTTTTACATGCGTTATAGCAAATAAATATGTTTTTTATCTACAAATACAAAAAAGAAAGCAGAAAATTTAACTATTTTTTGATTGAATATGTCTTTTGATCTCAAATTGTCACATCTAAACATGTAAGGCTTTTATGCATTCATATTTCAGCAATGCAACAAATCATTCTCTGTGATCAAAAATAGGAAAACATTGCACTTTCTATATTTCCGTCTTGGCAGAGCCTTCAAGCAGAGTTCTTTATCTTCAACCAGGACAGCTCAACCTGCGGTTGGACCAAAAGTGTGCCAATGCTCTTTATCAATAAATAAATGCATAATAAATATCAACATTTTAGTGGAATAACACTACAATTTAACATTTGAACAGCAATACGTGTCTAAAACATATTTTTGGTGGATATTTTAATTTATTCATCATCAATTAATTTTACCATATGGTTGAGATTTCACTCTATGCTAAATTTGACCATGAAGTGCCAACTCAACCTAAAGATCACGCATGTTTTCAAAAAATGATTTGACCCGTTTTTTGTTGCATGTTATTGTTAAGTCATCTGTTAGTCTGTATAAAATGTAGATACAAGTTAGTTTTACACAGTGGATGGACCGCTTCTATGTTAAATTTAATTATAATCCATTTTTGAGGTTGGGAAGGGACTTGGGATATGCTGTAATCAAACAAATAGAGAGCTGCAAGATTGACACTTTATTATGGGAGCTGTAATCATGTGTATGGAGCTAAAGTGACTGGGATGTCAAAAGTGGCTACAAATAGAAGTCAGATTGCCTGGAGATGACAACATGACAGTCAGGATTGGAACAGAAGTAGTCATCAATCATCATATTATTGTCTTTAAATTATGACATGTGAATCTAATCTCCTATTTTGGCAAGGAAAGTTTAATCGTAAAGCTCACATACAAAGTTCTGCATATAAGAAAGGAAACATTGAAGTATATTATGTAACCAATTGCCTATGCGTTATAAAAAATGAATAAATAAACACAAATGTTAACACACACGAACAGGTACAGGACTTCAAAGAACTGCTCTGTTTGTGACACGGCTGAACTTTGTTACATGTTATTTTTGTTTGAGCTGTTTAGATTATATGGGTTTCATTTGGAGTTCTTTTGTGTTCTGTGCCACTTAAGCTATGGCTGTATTCAGGATAATTTCAGAGATACATTTCACTTCATATACTTGTTAAACTTGCACAACTCATCCTTGAAGATGTCATAATTAAGATGGAGTTTTAACTTGTGTCGTCGTTTGTCTGTGGTGCTTTCTTAATATTCGTAACTTTTTTAACATTCCCAGGGGCTTTGGTGTACAGGACACTCAAAACATTGACTGTAGAACATTATGCAGTCTATAATTTCCATAAACACTGCACATATGCCGAGATTTAAATCTTCTTCATTAGCGTCGTCATTAGCGACACACATGTCAGAAAATACACAGACCACATATCGACCAAATTGAAATATTGACCACGTTATAATTAGCAAGTCGAGAGTGTGCCCTCTGTTATGAGTGGGCCACTCTCATGCTGAGTCAGACCAAAGGTTTCAAGAACAGATATTTTTGCCGTCAACATTATCCAAGCGGAGGCTACATTACAATTAGTAATGACTAAACCTGTGCATGCAACTGCACAGCAACTCAGTCCCTTATCAATAAAACACCATGGAGACATGTATGGCACTGTGAAGAGTATAGATGGAGATTATCTTTGCACAGGAGCTAATGTTCTTTATTCTTAATCATATTTGACGTCTTCTCGATGCAGATGAATGGAAACATAGTTTTTGTTTGTTTGAATCTGCATTATTGCCGGCACAGTAAAGGGAAGTTACTTAATTGCTGTCAATCCATTGGCACTGTTAACTACGACATCATAAAGCCAGGCCATAGTTACTTCTTTCTGAAATGGACACAAGTCGAAGATTGTTAAGCAGAGCGCAAACAGGCAGGTCTCGAGAGTGTTCAGGCTGTTGGATAATATTCCTCTGCATTTCGCCCAGTGTTTTATTTATCCTGCTGATTACAAAATATGGTTGTTTTTTAGCAGTATTTGTGTGAAAAACACCATGGCTTTTAAAAATACAGACTTATTTTTCAGACAGGATATAGTGAATTATATATATGTACGGTTCCGACAAGTTTTGATCATTTCTGAAGTCAAAATCGCCAAAATCCTGTTTTTCCTATTCAAAAAGAAGAGGTGAGGCAGAGCTCCTGCGTGCCTCACCCCCGATCGCTCCCTCGCAGTGGTCTTTGTGAGTGCACTCAGCTTGTAACCTGGCAAGACCCAGATTGATGATTGTGTAGAACTCTAATGCATTATCCACAATATCAATCTTGGACTTCTGCAGGAGAATCCTTTCGGGGAAAGGAGGGATAAGCAGCAGAATACTTCAAGCTGATTGGGCGAAGTGACGCTGTGTGCCCGCCTACCAAAACCCGTAGGTAAAAATGCACAAACATCTTTGCCGTCCAGAAATGCACAAAGCGCCTCTCGCTGTTCATCTTTCAAAAAAGAAATTGGAGATTCTGCTAAAACTGACTTGATAGCCTCAGCTACGCGTCCGTCCTCCTGCATAGCCATGTTTGTTTTGCTTCGGCCCGGCACTTCTTGCTTTCGTCAAACCCGGATATCCCGCCCTACACCCCCAGACTGGCGCGTGATTGGCTTGAACACCTAGATGTTCTACTCGAAAAGGGTTGGCGGGAGCGGGGCAAGATGTATTCTCGAGTGAACTCACAAATACCGTGAGAATTCAGCTTGCAGGCAAAGTTACTCAGCTCGTGCTGTTGATATATCGCTGTTTGTTTCTAAAATCCTGCTTTGAAAACATGTTTTAAACTTCTCATAGTGTTTAGTAGTGTATTGCACGTATGTGTGTACTATTTATATTTAGTTTAAGTCTTTTGATCGAAGAAGAATACACAAGGAAAAAGCTTGGCGTGAGGCAGGCAGTATCTGTGCCTCACCGCTAGGGGTGATAGTGAGCATAAAGGTCATACCCGAGTTGCTAACAAACAATCAGCCCAATGTGCTATTTCTTTTGCTGGAAAATGGATGATTTGATTGAAGATTTTTTAATATACTATATTCTGAAATCAATAAGATGAAATAAGATTTGCTTTATCATGCTTTATTTGTTCCAAAGTGTTTCAAAAAGCAATAGTTATAAGAGATAATAAACATTCAAAATGAGACACATGGGAAGTACACAAAAATACAATTGCTATCAAATTAAAACAACAAAAGGAAAGGGTGCACCTTGCAAACACTCAAACAAACTTACAAACTGCACACGGCACATACAGTAATAATACACCTTACAATTGTGCCTTTTGTCAGGTTTACAACCATAAACAAGATTTTAAGTACTTTTTTTTTACTGATAGTTCACACACAAGTAACAGACAGTGAAGTGTTATCAATTTAAAAATAGAAAAGTGAAAAGTTGGGTCTGCACAAGTCCTACAGATTTTTATGAGTACATATGAATACTTGTGCATGCCCAACTTTTATCACTATTTTTTGAATAATGATAGAATCATGTGTGATTTTGCTTAAACTTTATAGTTGTCTGTATCAGTAAAAAAAAATGCAGAAGTTTAAGCTGTATTGATATTTTGCAAGGCACTGTAGGTGAGTAATGTTTATTCATAAAGCGCATTTTTACAGAACAAGGTCACCCACGTTATACAATTTACAATTTATTCTTGTATAGCCCTAAATCACAACAGAACATTGCTATACAATGTTCAGATATTTTTCAGATATTATTTCATTCTCTCCACACTCGTTGATGACAGATATGTATGCAAACAGTCCACACACTGAGAATAAGCCGTAAAAAAACATGAGAGTCTAAAGCCTTAATGTGTTCCTGAGAAAACACACCATACTATACACCACATTATATTTTGAGGGTGCAGGAAGATGGCGAACCTGCGGTACTACCCCCCACAAACCCCCACCACCAAGGAGAGCTCCTTTGAAGTCGTAACGGCCTGCATCACTGAAGGCTCTACTCTCACTACACTTTAGGGTTACCCTAAAGCACGGGCGCTACAGGTTTGCTGCTCATAGAAAAACACAGGCAACTGGCCTAAACATGAATGTGCTGCATGCAACATGTAAAATAGACTGAGGGCTAAGAATGATTGATTGGCAGACTGCTGTGTGTAACTACAGATGGAGGATTTGTTCTTTGTGCTACTGGAAACATGTTGTGGAACCCCACTAGTTCTGTTTGGTGGATTTGTCTGCTTTGTGATTGTACATAATCTAAAAAAATATACTTTCACTTCCAAAAACACCACATGTTGACAATGATAATCAGGTAACATACATTATTATGATTTAAAGAGTGTGATTTTGTTCATTATATGCTAATATATTCATGCAATGGCACAAGTGTGGAACCACGAAAGTGTCAGTTTACTCTTCTATCTACAATCAAGCTTTAATGTAAGGTACATAACAAAACAATATAACATTGTTATACATCTCCAACGCGTGGTCTGAGATTTCATTCCCTTGAAAAAGTCCTTTATGAAAGACGAAACGTTAGGAAAGACGAAGAAGTACAGATGATGGGTGAGAAACCTTCCTTTACTTTGACTAATCCCTGTACGACTGACAGCTTTCACAAACAAGTCCCTAAATTGCTTCATTTATGACAAAAAAATCGATTCCATGTAACGATCTTATATAAGGTCATTTTGTTAAAATAATGTTGTTGATGCAGTACCTCACGTTGTTTCTTCTGTGAAGCTGCAGACGACGTCTCCAAAGAGTTTTTAATTGTAAGTTTCTCCACAACAGGAACAAATGTGAAGACACAGGGAACCGTCCCCTGAAAGACACAAAGATTCATCGTTTTTATCATTCCACGGATAAAACTAAACACGTTACTATCTTTGATCCAGCTTTATTTCCAGATTGAGGCTCCCTAATGAGATGCCTTCAGCACACAGATGTTCACTACACACACATGTTCAAGGCTGAATAATGAGCTGTAATTAAACTATTCATTTCAAGGGCCATCAAGCAGCCTTCATATGTAATGTTAAACTTATTTTAGAAACTGCAAACAATGCAGCTGAGGAAAATTATGAAAATGCAAATAAAAGATTTGTAGTCAGTGCGTGGCCGTGAAAGATTTGCTGGAATGGATATTGTTTTGGTTTTCATTATATTATTTCTTTTTTTTCTTTTTTTTTCTCTAATTATTACACGCACGCACACACACACACACACACACACACACACACAAATCTAAACAAAATATAAAAGTTAGCATAAAACATGATTGTAATGTTTTTCACTTTGTTTTTCACGTGAAACAGTAGCGGCTTGAAAATAGGGTATGTCATGTCCATATTGATTTATACCACTGCTACTTTAGCACTGTATATGAATCAAAAACAATGTCAGTATATACGTACATACAAAGTCTAACATACTGATCCATGGTAATGGTACTCTCTATTGGAACATGTACTCTCAGTGTGGACAGTTCCAAGTACAATGTCCATGAAAGTCATCACCCCTGTACTTCTGGCGAGACGCAGCGAGTGACGACAACTATTTTCCTAGGCAGCCAAAGTCCAGTCAAGATTAAAGTTATTCAGCAGAAGGACCAGTGGAGAGCAGGGGACAGAATTACAATATACATTAATTGGGACATAATGAAAACACGACTAAACTGGAAACAGCAGTCTATAAATGAATGAATATTCTGTCTACAAACATGTCCCAAAAGAAACCAAAGCCTTTTTCAAACCACTGTTTACATTCAGATTCAGAAGAATACCAGAGTATTTAAAAATATGGGAGAAAGGATTTAGTTTAATTGCGTCAGCTGAACGCCAGGCTGGAACGCAATGTGATGGGATTTGGCCAAAACGGACATGGAATTTATCAGAGTGTTTGCAAATGATACCTCAGTCAACCCAGTGGATCGCCAAACCACTTCAACCAAATTATCAAAGCAAACAGAAAGCTGCATATCTAAAGCCCAGTGATTAATGTAAAGTTTGTAAGTGACGGTCCACCTGTTACGTTGCATCGTTACTTCGGGGAGGACCCAGGACATGTTTGGAGGGACAATGTCTCTCAGCTGGCTTGGGAACGCCTCCTGTAGGAAGTGTGTGTGGATAGGTAATGTGTGGACGCCTCTGCTGTGACTGCTGAGGCCTCTGCCCCGGCGACCCGGCAACGGATAATGCTGAACAAAATTAATGGATGTTTTAGAAATTTGTAAAAGAGTATTATTTAATCAACAATATTTGTCATGGTGTGAATTTAATTTTTGTTCTTGGTTTTAATTTGGGTTTGAACTTGACTTTTGTTTTAGTTCCTGTCCTGTTCCCCTGTAATTGTCTGCCCCGCCCTGATGTGTTTTACCTGTGTTTCTCTGTGTCTTTATGTACCTGTGCTCCTTTCCCCTTGTTGTTGGTCTATTGTCTTTGTTTGTCCTCATTGTTGGATTTTGAATTTGCTTTTACCTTGTACTTTTATTTTATTATATTCCTGCCCTTGACTTTTATTGTATGTTCATTCAATTCTACATCATGGTGCTAACGCCCCTTAGGCTTCGCTATGGGTATACTCCAGAAGCACCTAGCTTCCCGCCAGAGAGAACTAAATGCTCCAATCACATGCCAGTCCCATCTATAAATAGCCCTCTACGGTCCGTACCAACCACTTTTTACTCTGGCGCCACTGAGAGAAGAAAATAACTCACCGATTGAAGATGTCGTCTCCTTCCCCGTCGCGTCCGAGAACCCCGTCGCCCTCCGGCGTCGGACGAAGACGGTGCAGGAGCTGCAGGACCAGGATCTCCCGCAAGGACCGGCACAGTCTGTGCTTCCTTTGCCTGGGTGTATCCCACTACCAGGGGGACGAGGCTGACTGCGAAGCGTGCCTCTCTCTCCCCAGGGAGGAGAGAGAGCGCCGCAGGGCGTATGTTGGCTCCGCGGTGGCTCACCCGGGTTCCTCCCAGGAGGACGAACTCGAGGTGGAGTACGTGCCGCTAGACCTGCCTCCCGCACCCAGGGAGTGGGGAGACTGCGTCGTGGAGGAGGAGGAGCGTGATGAGGACCAGGGTTCCTTCATCACGCTCGACGAGGCTTCCTCCTGGTGCGAGCCGGACCGGTTCCCGCTCGATCACATGCCCCGCCTCTTCATGGCTGCGGCGAGGACCATGGAGGTTCCATTCCCCCCGCAACCCGTGCAACCCAGGGAAGACTTTACCTCGGTGGGGTCTTCTCAGAGAGGGAGGAAGAGGCAGGTGCCCACGCTGTGTCCGCGTATGGAGCCGGTGTTCCACTACGCTACACGCGACTGGACCAAGCCTTCCACAGCTAAGAGACCTGCCCTGGGGTACGGTCCTTACTGTGAAGTCCAGGACTGGTCCTGGTCCAAAGGCGTACCGGAGGTCGAGGATGCGGTGAGGCTGGCGCTCCTCCGCAAATCCTCCCTGTGGCCGGGCAGCAAACCGCTCCTCCCCACCGACAAGGACCGGGTGTCCATGTCGGTACTGGACCGGTGCTACGCCAACGCGACACAGGTCGTTGCGTTGGCGAGCAATATGGCGCTCATCACCGGCGCCTTGGACAGGTCACTCGCCGCTGGCGAGGCGCTGAGCGGCGAGGACCTTACCAAAGCCAGGACCACCACGGCAGCGACCCTCCGCATGATCCAGGCGCTCGCTATTGACGGTGGTCGGACAATGGCGGCGGCGCAGGTCGGTGCCCGTCACCTATGGCTGGGGCTTGCTGATGTCCGGGAAGCGGAAAAGAAGCAACTTCTGGACCTCCCCATCTCCACAGAGTCTCTCTTCGGCCCAGACATGAGAGGCCTGATGGAAAGACTCGACGGAGCGGCGAAGGACTCCGCCAAGTTGGCTCCTCATTTGGCGCCGCGGAAGCAGCGCCGCCTCTTCGAGAGCAGAGAGAGAGGGAGGGAGAGGGACCGGTCCCCGCTACGTCGCCCTGCCTTCCCCCAGACCGCTGCACGCTCGGCACGGCCTGCTCCAGCAAGATCCAGGGGCCAGGATTGGACCTCCGGAGGCCCACGAGACCGATCCTTCCAGCGTCCTCCTCCTTTCGGTGGTGGAAGACGCAAGGGAAAAGCCTTTTTCAATAAAAGAAAAAATCAAGCTTATCCACTGTCTCAGTCCTATGTTCTCTTGCACCACATGCCGTCACAGGTAGAGGGCAGTGTGGTCTTACCTACAGAGCAGACACATGGTACAGAGGGTGGTTTGATGAGACTGTCTCAGACCACCGCTCCGGGTAACAGATCTAGCGCTTCATCTCTACAGGGAGTGTTGAAACGCGAGGGTCCCTATAACAGGGGATTTACGGTCCCTTCTAGCTCCACTGTTCCTCACACTTCCTCATTTGGCATGGGTCTGAAGCGTAAGAGGCAAGTTGGGGTTACCGAGGCAACGGGTCAGGGTCCGTCTGCCTCGCACTGCAGAGAGGCAAGGCACGCTGCTATAAGCGATACAAGGAGTAAGGACTCCTCTGTCTCGCGCAGCAGGGCAAAGAGAAAAGCTGTGGTTACCGAGGCAACGGGTCAGGGTCCGTCTGCCTCGCATTGCAGAGAGGCAAGGCACGCTGCTATAAGCGAAACAAGGGGCAAGGACTCCTCTGTCTCGCGCAGCAGGGCAAAGAGAAAAGCTGTGGTTACCGAGGCAACGGGTCAGGGTCCGTCTGCCTCGCATTGCAGAGAGGCAAGGCACGCTGCTATAAGCGAAACAAGGGGCAAGGACTCCTCTGTCTCGCGCAGCAGGGCAAAGAGAAGGCTGTGGTTACCGAGGCAACGGGTCAGGGTCCGTCTGCCTCGCACTGCACAGAGGCAGAGCACGCTGCTATAAGCGAAACAAGGAGTAAGGACTCCTCTGTATCGCGCAGCGGGGCAAAGAGACTGAGGCAAGCTGTGGTTACCAAGGCAACGGGGCAACACAGACTTCCTCGGCCCTTTCGTGGATCCCCCCTCCCCTGTGAAGGCACCAGGAGAGTGGGGGGAATTAAGGTCAGGTCTCACGAGCCCGGTGCCCCCTCTCACGTCTTTTTATCGGGTCTGGAGAGAGCAGGGGCTCCTCTCAGACGCATGGTTGGACAAGACGTTACGCAGAGGTTATGCCCTACAGTTCGCGAGGAGACCACCGCCGTTCCAGGGCGTTCGAGCGGCAAACTCCAGGCGACATGGGACAGAGGAGGCTCTCCAGGAGGAGGTAACCTCCCTGTTACTAAGAGGTGCTGCGGTCCAGGTCGACCCACAGGACGCTCACAGGGCTGTACTCCCCTTACTTTCTGGTCCCCAAAAAAGACAGGGGGGGTGCGCCCTATTCTGGATCTGCGCGCACTCAACCAGTGCATCTCCAGGCGGCCGTTCCGCATGCTCACTACGAAGCAGCTACTGGAATGTGTCAGACCCGGAGACTGGATGTCCTCCATCGATCTGACAGACGCTTATTTCCACGTTGCGATAGTGCCAGAGCACAGACGCTTTCTGCGCTTCGCTGTGGGAGAAAGGTGCTACGAGTACTGCCGCCTCCCGTTCGGGTACGCTCTGGCCCCCCGCACCTTCTCGAAATGCGTGGAGGCAGCCCTGATGCCGCTCAGACGAGCAGGGGTCAGAATTTTAACCTACATCGACGATTGGTTAATTCTGGCACAGTCCAGGGAGGTGGCCCTGGAACACACGCTCCGGGTTCTGTCTCACATACAACAGCTGGGCTTTGTGGTGAACAGAGAGAAGAGCAGATTACAGCCTGCCCAGCGCGCGCTCTACCTCGGTCTGCAGCTGGACTCGGTGGAGTTCCGAGCGGCTCTGTCCAGG